GTTGAAAACTCGATCCATTGCCTCAAGGCAAAAGTGATGACGTGTGAATTTTGGAGAGTCGAGTTTATTAAAGTCCCTAGAGGTGAATTTATTGTTTCAAACGCCTATCTTTCAAATTTTGGCGTAATCACCTCAATTCAAGAAAATTAGCCACACATTCCCATATTACCTACCTCGGACCAAAGAGCCTAACAATTGAAAGCCACAAAGTCCCAATGATCCCAATAGCTTATCGTTCAATATTAGTTGAGTAGAATAATTTGGTGAGTATTTGGAGTCAAATATATGCATGTAAGTATAAATTATTTCTATCTTTAACTTGCAAATATTGGATACTTGAAGCAATTGTATGATTTGTGGTTTTTGGTAATAGTGAGTGACTAAGTGCCGCTGAATGTTAAGCTTGCGAATACCTATGAATTGTCATCATAATTGCAAGTTCTGAAAACAAAAAGTTGACCCATCGATCTATGTAATGAGATGTATGGTTTTGTTTTGTGTTCTTACATTGATTTTACTTGAGGACAAGCAAAAGTTCAAGTTTGGGGGTGTGTTAAGTGTATATTTATACACTTAATTGTATCTTTTAATTGGAGCTTTTGATGTGTTTTTACGATAATTGGTGCTTAATTTGGTTATTATTTGTATTTTAGGTGCAAATTGAAGAATTGACAACTTTTGGGGTGAAAACTGCAATTTCGGAGAAAAAGTGGGCCAAAAGTGAAAAAAACAGAATTCTGGAGAATCAAGGACCGCGCGGCCGTGCGGATTTTAGGCATAAATCTCACACGGCCGTCTGGATGGTCGTAGGGGCGCAGTGAAGGAATTTTAATTACACAAGGAAACCCGCCCTATTATATTTTTGCACCCTATTTAAAGGCCACAATCACACAATTAGAGACATCTTTTACCTTTTATCTTTAATCTTTAGGTTTTTATTTTTCATCTTTCTACACGCGATCAAGGAGCACAAGAACGAAGACGAAGACTTGACGAATCTTCATCCTAGTTCCCCTCTTTGACTTTTATTTATAGCTTTTATGATTTTTATTACTTTTATTATGTTTTTCGTTATGAGTAGCTAAGTTTTTAATCTAGGATTTTGTTGGAACCCTATGTAGGGATTGCGAACCCTTTTTCTTGAGATTATGCAATTATGATTTTATGATTATTTCTTCTACTTGTTATGATTGTTAGTGCATGAACTTGATCAATTTATGTGCTTTATCTGTGATTATTGGGATTGACTCGACAGAGCTATTTTGATAATTAGACGGTAAGTAGAAGAACCTTCGAGTAGTTTTCACCGGATGAGTGTGTCAATTGCATGTGGTGTCGTAGACATACAGATATCACCTTAGGTAGCCATTTACGAGACTTGTTAGTTAATGCTTTACTCATAATTGGTTTGCATAGACATATAGTGAATCGCTTATGAATAATAGACTCATAATACACGCGACAGCGGGTTATGAGTAAATTAGTGTCTCGGGTTAATAATCATGAATCATATATTTCATAATTGAGGGATTTTGGGTGAGCAATTCTTGCATAGGGGGAAGATAAAATCCTAGGTCCGTTTTAATTGATATTTTCCCGTGTTATTTGCTTTCTTAATTAGTTTAGTTGTTTAATTAATTTAATTTGACAAACTTGCGTAGGCTGGATAAAAATCATAATTGTTAGAATTTGGTACTTAGGATTAGGTAATTTGCGTATTCCCTGTGGGATCGACATCCGACTCTCACGAGTCCACTTTATTACTTGTTTGCGATACGTGCACTTGCGTGTTGGTATTTAGAATCCAACAATATACTAACTTTATTTAAAATTAACCAATCTAATGAGTCGATAAAATTATAAAACCGTATACTTCTACGCAATTACATACAAAACAAAGAAAATCTCAAGTTAATATATAAAGCTACATAATTAAAATGAACTAAAACATCTTCTCTGATGTAGCTTACTCCTTAATTAAATTAAAAGGAATTGATCCCACCCACATTGATTTAAGGGCAAATTACGCCCACCGTCTGAGTTATGGTCAAATTACGAAAATTCTCTTCCTATATGGATAGTTACAGTCACCTCCTTAACTATGTATTATTTTACAAAAATACCCCTTCAAAGGTAAATTAAGGGATGTTAAATCGGTAAAACCGAACCGAAATTTCTGTACGCCAACATTTCATACTGTTTACTGAACCGAATATACGATTTGGTTCGGTAAATAACCAAATTACATATATTTTATCTAAAAATATTTAAAAGAACGGGAGTGACTGTAATAACCTAAATAAGATGGGGTTTTTCGTAATTTGGCGATACCTTAGGAGTAACTGTAATTTGCCCTTGATTTAATAATAAAAAGCTCTTAAGATCTCCAGCATAATCACATTTGATGGTATATGATCTTTTATCGACTTAATTACTTTCAAGTAGATCAACATGTGACATCATCTGACTTAAGTGTCGCAATGTAATCGTCGGGGAACTCCATCGCGTGTCACATAGTGTGTTAAGTGATTTTGCATGAAAGACAAACAAGCCTAGTATACTTTGATCAACGCAAGCAAAGCTCGTGTCATTCAAACCCGTATTCCTAAACAATTCTCCAACTACTCATTTCAAGTGATCCTGCGTCACTCTCGATTAATGTTTTCTCACGATTATAAATGAACGACATAGGTGTTTTACACTACCAATAGAAAAACGAAAAGGAAACTAAACTTGTTTTTTTTTCTTGTAAGTGATTTTAATTTTAATGATAACTTCAAGTGGAGTTAGGAAAATATTCGTATAACGAAAGTACTTTTATTTTCTGCAATAAATTTCTTAACAAACTAATTTATTCGTACAACTCATTGTACTCGCCCAATAATTTATTGAAATCTAATCTCACCACTACAAATTAAATAGAGAGAAAATATAAAAATAAAAAATGGAAGTAGCCAAGTTGATGAAACATGAAATGTGTGTTGTTCCCCCAACTTGATATTTTTTTTTAAGTCACGAAGGAATACGCAGCCAACTGTATAGGTGCACTGAGTGAATCTACACTCTCATATAATAACATTAAAACTATACGAGAGACGTAAACTACATTAAGGTTAGGCATGTGTGACAAGTTTGATCTAGCAACCGTTGGCAAGGGGATTAAACTTCGATCAGTTAACACAAGCATATTTGCTCAAACCGCTAAGTTATTCCTTACGAGACCCCAACTCAATTTTCGATTCCTGTGTCAATACTCTAATTTCTTTTTGACTTGCCTAGTATTGTCCCTCTTACGTATGGTTTGAGTGCTATTGCACGAGAAAATGAAGTAATAGCTCAAGTACATTGACTATTATACCCCTCCGTATTTATGCACTGTACTAATGGCTGAATTAAATTAAACCAAAGTATTTCAATACACAATTTGTAATTGTTGTCGTCAATAGTTTGTTTGAGCTTGATTTGTCAACATAACGAACCAGGTTTTAACACATATTTTCGTTCATAAGTTTTGAAGATCGGATCGAGCTTGATAAAGAAACAAAAATGATAAAACATGTACAAAAACTAAAAGTTACTTGAAATACGATTCGTACTCGGTTCGATTAAAACTCATTCGAATTCGACTCTATTAGTTATCAAACTAAAGTCACTCGATAAAAGATCTACATAATGTTGAACAATCAATGCGTTTGATGGGGATAAGTATGGCAAGTTTGGCCCAAATTCACCATATTGAGCTTATTAAAATAGTATAAGGATAAAATGTATGGGTCGAAAGATATTTATTGGGCCCACCGACCCGATACATGTCAAAGACAATGCCTCTTTAGAAGCTCGCAGTAGCTCGCCAACCCATCCGAACATGCTAGAAATAAATCAACAGAGTAGGTGGCGAGCTGAACGAGAGCATTTAGAAGCAGAAGATTCGGAGATACTTTGCCTAAATCGATAAGGAAAGTATGTAAATTAGTAGTAGTAATGGAGCAATCAATGTTAATCTCGACATCATTAAGGCGAGTTAAACTAGGAAGCGATTAGAGAGATATTCTTATATAAAGTCTCGTAACAAGTCCGATTAAGGAAACGATTTAATATCAATAAGATACGTTTATACTCTTCTCTAAACTATCTCTCATATTTATTTATTTTCGTTCATCATCTCACCACTGTCGGTCCAAGATCCGACGCCTGATGCCCTTTCCGACGATTTAAAAAGAGTAAGGTTTGGAGAGAGGTATTAAGGATGTGGATTCCACACCATCATCATTCAACTCGATTTAATTCATTTACACCCTTAAATATTAAGAGATTAAATTCTGAGCGGATCAGCTGATATTTAATATAAATCGGATTCCACTAATTTTTTGACATGTGGCACTCGTAAGTCTTGACTCTTAATAAATCACGCGGATTATAATTAGGGTTAGATGGATTACGGGTTCTGCTTGGATTTTCTTGTTCTTTTTTTTCTTTTTTTTTCCAATTATTAGAATCATAATTATATTTTTATTTAAACTATTCACGTGTCAATCATCCTATGACATCCGATTTTCCTATTAAAACAGGTCATCCAGTCTAAATTTGTAACCAAATACTAAATACGCCAATCTTGATTGGTCAATGTGCGAAAGCCAAAAAGTTAACATTTTATAATTCATTTACTTTATGTTAATTTTTAATTCATGTTTTATCATGCTTTCCAGCAAAGAGAAGAATTAGAAAGAGGTGATGGGGTCCCCAAAATACCAATTTCATGAATTTGGTAGTCTTGCTCCTCACAAAGTAGCCGTTACACCACCCCCCACCCCACCCCCAACTTCCCCTTTCCCTCTTAAATCTTTTTCTTTTCCGTGAATTTAATTCTACTTCTTTTATCAACTCCGCTCCTCTCTTCTTTTGCTTAATACTATTTTATTAATTATTATTTATTATACATACACATATACATATATATATATACACTCAACATATTTATATACATATAGTATACGTATAGGTGGGGAGCTATTTATCAGTTGTTTGTTTGCTCTTTCCGGAAATTTCCCCAACGTCTCTTTTTTCCATATATATACACACACACAATTCTCCATCTTCTTCTCTTATTTATTACATCAAATTCAATTCTTTTTAAGCCTGTAATTCTCCCCAAACAGTATCAATAATAAAATTAAATAAATAAAATAAAAAATAAAAAAAAAAATATGCTTCGTTCCATAAACCACCCCGTCAGAGATGCCACCCTGTCAACCCCATTGTTATCCGCCGTCTCACCGCCGAGCACCACCACCACCAGCGACTCCGACGAAAGCAGCAGCAGCGCCGACAATTCCTTCAGATACGACTACCACGACCTCAATTTCAACACTCCACCGCCGCCGCGGCCGCCGCCGCTGCCGGCGGCGGTTTTCTGCTCCTCCTACAAATCGCTGGCGGTTCTCTCCGGCCACGTCAGCTCCGTCTCGTGCCTGGCATTGTGCGGCGAGTTCATCCTCAGCGCGTCTCAGGGAAAGGACATAATCGTGTGGCAGCAGCCGGATCTACGGCAGTTCACCAAATTCGGCCACGGCGACGGCTCCGTGAAATCCGTCGTCACCGCCGGGAACAAGGTGTTCACCGCCCACCAGGACAGCAGAATCCGCGCCTGGAAAGTTTCTAGAAGCTCCGAGAACGTGTTCAAGCTGATCGATACCCTCCCAACCAAAAAGGACTATTTGGGGAAATTCATGAAGCAGAGCAACTACGTCCAGACGCGCCGCCACCACAAGCTCCTCTGGATCGAACACGCCGACAGCATCTCCTGCCTCGCCGTCTCCAACGGATTGATCTACTCCGGCTCCTGGGACAAAACCCTAAAAGTATGGCGAATCTCCGATTTCAAGTGCTTGGAGTCGATTAAAGCCCACGACGACGCAATCAACGGCCTCGCCGCAATCAACGGAATCGTCTACTCCGCCTCCGCCGACGGCAGAATCAAAGCCTGGGGAAGAAGAAAAACAACAGACGGCGGCGGCGACAACAAAATCACCCATTCGCTCAAGGGAATTCTGCAAGGGCACAAGGACATTTCAATTAACTCGGTGGTGGTGAATCAGAACGGGAGTTTGGTGTACGGCGGCGCCTCCGACGGATATATAATGGGGTGGGCGGCGGACGAGGGTTTCGAGAGCTGGAAATTGGTGTGTGAGGCGAAGGCGCACGCGACGGCGGTGCTGTGTGTGTGTTTGGTGGGGGAATTTGTGTGCAGTGGATCGGCGGATAAGAGTATCTGTGTGTGGAGGAGGGATTTGATTGGCGGTGGTTTGGTTAGGTATATGGTGGTGAAAGGGCATGAAGGGCCGGTGAAGTGTTTGCAGGCTTCGCCGGAGAGAGTTGGCGGTGGGTTTATGCTGTATAGTGGGAGTCTGGATAAGAGTATCCGAGTTTGGTGGATTCCTAATCATTCGGTAGAGGATAGTGCAGTCAGTACTGAGAAGAGATTGAAGTTTTAGTTTTGTTTTGATTGATTGATTGATTGATTGAGTATTGGATTTTGAGGGGTTTTTTTTTTTTTTTTTTTTTTTTTTTTTTTTTCTTTTTGGGTTTTTTTTTTTTCAATTTGTGGGTATATATATTTGTGTTTTATAGTATGATTTTTTTTCATAGGATAGGATGAAAAAAAGAGTTGATGTTTGAATGAATTCTTTTTTATTCTTTTGTCATAGAAATTTCATATATGGATGAGTTATTGGGGTTGGATTTGAAGTGAATAACTGTCGTTTCGATTTTCATCATATGGTTTCGACTTTAAACATGATTTCGATTATTTTATAGGCTGAATTTGACAAAATTCCAATTTTCGAATTTATATATGTAAGTTGTTTTTTAATTCAATTTGAATCACTAAGATTGGAGATCGGGTGAGAAAGATACACGATCGATGGACACTGCCCATAATTTAGATGTTTTGAGTTATCTAAAATTCAAAATATAGCTCATTGATGCATAAGTTTGTCACCCAACATCCGATCTATTTGATTCAAGTTGGGTTAGAAAGTTATTCCATAAGACCATAATTTTCATATTTTGAATTCTGCCAAAATCATAACAGAAAAGGGTGAAAATCACGTTCGAATCAAAAAATATAAAAAACGACATTCTAACATTTTGAAAGAAAAAAAACAATTTTGTTTTGGTTTCTAATTTAAATCATCAATCAAATGTTTACACACTTTTCTCATTTTCTAGTCTTTGCTTCTTCCGATGATTTACTAAAAACTGAAAAATTATCTACTCTTCACCCACACCCACCCACATGGATGTGTGTGTTTTTGTATGTATCAATGTAATGTTTAAAAGTTTCGATGTTTTCAAATTTATATAATGTCCTTTGATAGATTGTTTTGCATGAAGATAAGGAATCGAGAAAATTACAGTTTATGTCCCTCAAGTTTACATCAATATCATATTTGGTTCCCCTATGTTCCAAAAAAACAAATTTAATCCCTCATGCTTCAGTAATTGAACATTTTTTGTCATTTGCGTTAATTTTCTATAAGTACTAACGGGATCAAACATATGCTCATCATTCTCTTAATTGACAGTCAAAATGGTAAACTGATTAAAATGACCAAAAATATCAAATTGTTGACATACGATGGACCGAATATGATTTTTGTAAACATAAGGGACCAAATGTGACACCGGTGCAAACTTAAGGGACCAAAACTGTAATTGTCCTACTGCTCCTCAATAATAGGGTGTCTTTTGTTTTTGTTTCACTCATATGAGCAAACTGGTTAGTTTTGTCCTCTGTAACAGCCAATGTTTATTTAAATATATTGAAGGAATTTCTTGGACACACACACA